ACACACACACACACACACACACACACACACACACACACACACACACACACACACACACACACACACACACAGAGCATCATAGTGCATGCTTATATTCCCAATGCTGTGGAGGTGGAGACAGACAGATCGGGGCTTGCTGGCCAGCAAGCCTAACCTACTTGGTGATTTCTAGGCCAATAAGAGACCATGTCTTAAACAAACAAACAAACAACAACAACAAACCCAACTACCACCAACAAAGATCTTGGCATGGCTCAGAGAGTAAAGGTGCTGTAAGCCCGAGGACTTACATGGTGGGAGGAAAGAATTGATTCCTGTTTGCAAGTAATTTCACTGCCAGCCTCCTGGCTAGGAGAGCATGGTGTCCTTTCCATGTCATGTCGTCTGCTTTTGTGGGTGTCCTGGTTGGCAAAGGAGGCAGCTTAGTTATGCCTAGCCCATGGTTCTTACCCCTAGAAGTTCATTAGAATCCCTTGGGGAATATTATTTGTGTTGAGATTTTTTTTTTTGGTTTTCTATTCTGTTTATTTTTCTTTTTTGACAGAGTCTCACTCTGTAGCTCAGGCTGCCCTCAAACACACTGAGCAGTGCAGGCTGACCTTGAACTCACAGTCCTCTTGCCTTAGTCTCCCAAGTGCTGGGATTAGAGAGAGGTGTGTGCCACCAGTGCCACTTTAAGCTCAATAGAGGCTCCCATCCTAACTTGAACCAATTGATTAGACTTCCTGGTGCTGGTGCCCAGGGAGATGATGTTTATAGGAGTCCCTGGTCAGAGCTGAAGGAACTTCCCCACCTCTGATAACGTCTGTGTGGACATCGAGGGGACCTCAGCTAAATGTATCTTTCAGCCTCCATGGGAAACAGTGAAAACTTCTCAAGCTTGTCAGTTTTTTGGAGTGCCAGGGAACTTTGATAATCTTCATCCTTGGGTCCCATCTCCAGATTCAGATATCATGGGCCTTGGTGTCACCTGGACATCTGTGACAGATACTGTAGGCAGGACTTTTCAAACTTGATGGACAATGAGGTCTGTGGGAGGGTGTGTTACCACACATTTCCACTGCTAGCTTCTTCCTGTGTTCCTGGAGGAGGCATCAGTGTGGTTTCTTAATAGGTTCTCAGGGCTGCTGCTGCTGGTGTTAGGGATATAGCTTGGCAACCACAGCATTGAATAGCATGACTTTCTTCTTTTATTTATTTATTTAGACAGGGTCTCTCTATAAAGCCATCGCTGTCCTGAAACTAGCTATGTAGACCAGACTGGCCCAGAACTCACAAAGATCTGCCTGCTTCTGCTTCCCAAGTGCTGGGAAGTGTTCTAAAATATCTCCTGCTGGTTTGGAATTCCCCTTCTCTTCTAAACTTTTCTGGGCACTACATTCATTCCTAGAGGCAGTGTCTCATACTCCTTGAAGGAGTATTTATAATTTAAACAAGCCAACTGTGGCCCAAGGCCCTAGAGTCTAGGGAGCAGTTGCCGTGCTTAGATCGTTATTGGGAAATCTGGCTCTAGATATGAGGATCACCCAGAGGACAGTCCCTTTTTTTGTCCAGCTCAAAACTGAGCTCTTGCCTTGCTTTCTTGTTTGTTTTCTTCCAGTGAAAAGGAATCTGCACTGTATTTCTCAGAGTATTACACCAAGCCCTACTGCCGGTGTGGCCCGTTCCTTGTGGGCCTCTTCCTGAGCATGTTCATGCATTCAGATCACCAAACAAACATTCTCAAGACGACGGTATGTTGTCCCTTTGCCTCCCTGTAAGGGCATCAGTCTTACTGGGATTGGTGTGGTCTCTTTGACCTGGCTCTTCCAAGCTAAGTGCAGACAGAGCCAGGTTGCTGCATTTGTTCCTGTGCTGCAGTGTGTTGTACATCCATGCTAAAGCATGAGGGGGACTTTTCTTACAGCCGAAGTCCAGTCCTCCTTCCTGAGCTAAAGGACCAAGAATCCAATTGCACTACGGGGGCACAACTGTTGTTCCTCCAAGGGACCTTCATTGGCCTTGGCTTTGTCATAGACAGTTCAGAGAAGAGGCTCCGGTTCCTTGGAAAATCTTGTATAACTCACAGCAACATCAGGAAATAGGATATTCTGGGAGTGGTGGGGCACACCTTTAATCCAAGTATTTGGGAGGCAGAGGCAGGCAGATCTCTGTGAATTAAAGGTCAACCTGTTCTACAGAGCAAGTTCAAGGACAGCCAGGGCTACAGAGAAACCCTCTTTTGAGAAACCAACCCTTCCCCTACCCCAAAGTTCTCCAAACCAAAACAACAAACTCCCCCAAAACAAATCAAAACAAAAAACCAAAGAAATCACTCCAACAAACAGGCATGCAAACAAAAAAGCTTCATCAGAACAAATGGCTATATAGAAGAGTGTATCTTTTAGATGTTAGCATTTTGATGTTCTGGAAATGAACCATCCAGCTGTAGAGTATAACATCAAAGAGACCCTTGACTACAGCCCAGATGACACGAGGCTTCAGGGAGAACAGGGTATTAGGAAAGGGGAGAAGGTAAGACAAAAAGGAAGCATTGGGAAAACCACGTCAAGGGCAGTGTCATGGTTGGGAGCTTGGTGCTGGGGATACAGACAGAGTGAGCCGGAGAAGCAAACTGGAATGTGGGGAGGAAAGAGGACTCCCGGTTCCTACTGAAGGAAGTCAGGCATGCAGTGGCTGCTAGGAATGAAACAGGGAGGAGCCTGTGAGCAGACCTGTAGGCAAAGGGCAAGGACAGCCTCAAGCTCAGGTGTGCTTCTTGAGGTTGCAGGCCTGCTGGCACTTAAAGAATTAACAAAGGGTGAGGGGCTAAGACTGACTTAGTTCAATCTAAAAGAGTAAAAAAAAAAAAAAAAAAAAAAAAAAAAAAAAAAAAAAAAAAATCCCTGACAGCTTACTTTCCTTCCCTACAGCAAATGGAGGACAGGTAGTTGAGCTCCAAGTAGGTCTCAGAGACAAGGTGATAGACAAACTTCTTACTTCAGCCTGGTCATCATGGCAGCTTATGAGCTAGAGCACAGAGAAGCAAGAAAGCCTTGGAAGATAGGTCTGGGTCTGAAGAGATCAAGAGCTGTGGCGTAAATTCCAGGAATTAAACCAAGTCAGGCAATGGGACTTAACTCATCTGTTCTTGGAGCTGGAAGTTGCTCTCCTCTCACTTGTCAAGGTGCCTCTTCATGTCATTGAAGAATCCTTTTGATTAAGGGACAGAATGGGACATTAGGAGTGTAGTGAGTGTTGGAGAGGAAAGTTTCCTTCAAACTGATTTTGAACTGATTATATATGTGTGGGAAATGGTTTAAAAACAAAAACATTGTGAGAGTTCCTGAATGTCCTTCAGCCAGGCTGTGCATCAGGCACTGAGCCAGGAAACCATGGTGTATTATTATCATCCCTAAGAACTGACATTGTTCGACCCATAGACCTTAGCCAGTTTCCCTTGTACTGTGTGTGTGTGTGTGTAGTTCTGGGAGTGTGAGTCCTGTGTAGAGATCTGTATATATCACTACAATCAAGGAGCTGGGCTCTTCTGTCACCATGAGCCCTTAATCCCTCACCCCCATCCCTCCCTGCTGTAGGGAGACACCCTAGCCTCGCCCAATAGTCATGGGACAGGAGCCAGGTGGACCCGGGACTCGCCCATAAGGGCGTGGTGAAGGAAATCCGATGTGACGTAAGGGAGCTTTATAAGGGCTGCACCGGAAGACCCTAGCCCTTTTTTTCTGGTCACGCTTGTTGGGTTCCTGTAACCTCGCTCTGGTCTGCGTCTTGCCCTGGTGTTTTCTTGAATAAAGAGACTTCACCATCCCGGATCACAGTTCATCTTTGGCGCACGCTCCAACCCATATTCTTCACCCTGCTTTTCTCTCAATACACTGAGGCTTATTAAAAACTAAATGTGTAAGAGTAGCTGAGTGACTATCAGGATGGGAAGGTGTCCAGAGGGAGGGGAGATGGGGTATGTGTGGATTAGCAGGGAGCAAACATGATCTAAGCATATTATATGTGTGTGTCAAAGTGTTCTAATGACAACTGAACATGCACAGTCAATTTGTCACTCAATAGGCTATTATTTTGTGCAATTACTTTTTGGTTTTTGAGATGGGGGTCTCTCTGTGTAGCCTAGCTGGCCTTGAACTCATAGTTCCCCTGCCAGCTCATCCCTTTATAGTCACACACACCCTTCACCCCCAGTGTTCCTAACCCCTGCCTATCACTAAACTGATCTTTTAGTGAAATCTGCAGTGATTGAGGTTCACATAGAGAGATCTAACGTGATAGAAATGGCACCAAAGAAGTGAGCATGTGCGAAAAGGTGCCCTGGTTCATGAACTGTGAACTGCCTCTTGTTCCCCTCAGGTGCAGGCCGTGCTGGGCTGGACTTTCTCTCTGCTGACACTGTTTGTAGTTGTTGCCCTGGCATACATAGTGGACGACACCTCTCCAACCTCTGCCATGGCTGGTGCCCTCTATTC